ATGGTACGGCCCATAAAGCATTAAAGACCTCAACATCAAATTCTTTGAAGGGTATTTTGATTGCCATATGAAAGAATAAACAATCATACATGTGGAGGCCACACACTCCATAACACCTACAGATTCTTATTATTGCCTCGGGGACATTTACCTGCTAGTCAGAGGACGGTCTCACATATCAGGATGTCCACTCTAACTTATCCTTGATGCAGTAGAAAGATCGACACCCCAAGATTTCACTATCCTTCAAACGACAGTCTTAGGCATTAGTAGAGAATTATGATGACGTTTTTTCACTATTTCTCTGTCATTGTTCAAAGAATAAAAGTGAAGACCATGAGTCTTACATTTAGTCCATTCCTTCAACCACCATATTACGTCTTTAAAACTAAATAGATGTTTGACGTTGCGCTCTAGATACCGAGAAAATGATTTCACATTGGGATCATCCATGTCATTATTGACGACAATGAGAATAACTAGAATGACGTATCCAAAACTAAATTTTGCCCTAACTTAGTTCATGTTAATATAGGTAGGATAAAGCTCTCTATCATTAAAAATAAGGTTGATCACTTATGGTTCAGTGGTAGAAGCTACGCTGTTATGTTCTTAAAGAGAGATTCCTATAAATGGGTTTTTTGGGCTCTCCATGTTCAAATGCAGATAAAATCCTATAAATGAAAAGGGAGGAAAAAGGAAATAATTAGTTTTAAAACAATTTAACTGAAGAAATCAAGCAATGAAGCGGGTAATCAAACAAACAATTTGAATATGTAGATTGAAGAAACAAGCGTAAGTATTCTCTTGAAAAATCATAGATTAAAGAAAATTTTGAAAAGTATGAATGAGTTACATGTTCTAGTTTTAAATGCATAATAACATCTAGATCTAATTACCACATTCGACTAAAAATTTAAAGGATATGTCAATAGTTAAGATCGCGTCTCAAAATGGTAACTACACTTAAGTAATACCTAGACGTGTCAACGTCTTTCAAAATGGTAACTACACTTAAGTAATACCTAGATGTGTCATCGTCTTCCTGATGTGTCAATCAATCTAAAAAAATATTTTATCAACTTAATACACATTTGGTGTGCATGTTCAAAAATTGCACTGTCCTGCCATCTTTTTGGTTAATTATTTCCAAAATGCCATATATTTCAATAAATATCCCATAATGCCACAGTTTCAAAAAAGATGTGATTATTGGTATAATAAGGGTGTCGCCCTTTCAATGGGCGGCAGTGTCTAAATTTAATATTAATATATATTAATAATATTAATATTAATATATATTAATAATATTAATATTAATATATACTAACAATATTAATATTAATATTATTAATATATATTAATATTAATATAATCAATTAATATATAATAATATTAACATAATTTAAATATTAATATAATTTTAAAATTAATTTATATTATTTAGTATTATTAATATTAATATAGGTTGATAATAATAATTAATATTATTTAGTAAGAGATAATGAAGGTAATATAATTAATATTATTTAATACATAATTTATATTAATTGATATCATTAACTAATATTATTTAATATATGATGATTAATAAAAACACTAACGATTACTTGTTCTCACATTGGGACACCGGATTCGATTGTGGCCTGTTTGACGACACATGGAACATTTTCTCTCAAGCTTATCAAAGTTATCCATTTCTGTTCTAATACGAGTGCTCACCGGGCGACCTTTCTTGTTCCTCCACATTCTTGGGTTATGGCAAATTTGATCTCCTTCATAAACGGGTCAATATTCATCGTACGGAAGCACTGGAAAGCTTGTGATGTAAACCCCAGACAGGTTTGCAACCCTATAAACGTCAGACAAAAAAGCGTAAGCATCGTGGCGTACATTCGAACATGCAGCGATAACATGTGAGCAAGGGACACGATATGCTTGAAACTTTCTGCAGTCACACCACCTGTTTAAGAGGTCGACCTTATAATGTCCCATAGGCTTCCCCTCACCATGGTCCATTGTCTCTTTCACACTGAAAACATTGTTAGCGTAGTCAAAAATTATAACTTGATGTGTGCTCGATTTTGTTGTTTCTTCTTTCATCACCTTGAGGAAGTTGTCTATAAATGTTTGGCCAGAATTCAACACAGTACTCCACTTTGCACCCCTTTCAGAAAATAAAGATCCAAGTCTATAATATGTTGCCCTTACCAATGCTGTAATCGGAAAATCACGTGTGCCTTTAAAGACAGCATTCAATGACTCAACAAGGTTGGTAGTCATGTGACCCCAACGTCGACCCCCGTCAAATGCCCTTGTCCATTTTTCGGCTGGAATACTGTTAATCCACCTTATAACATCTGCATTTACCATGCCAGTCTCTGACCGATAGTAATGAAATGTTGGTTGGTTTAAAGTATACCCTGAATAATTAAAATATCAACGAAGGACAAAAAAAATAATATATGTTATTGACAAAATTTAATGAATATTATGAAATATAGTTACCCATGTTAATTATTTTTTTCCGTAGGTTCCTGTTCTTGATTTCTCTCATAAAATTTTGTGCAATGTGTCGGATACAATAAACATGCACTGATGGGGGATTATGCCAACCATTTTCTGCATTGTCGTATGCACTTTCAATTGATGCATGTCGGTCTGAAATTAAACATAGGTTTGGTTATGGCGCATCATGCCTTCTTAAGTTTCGCAGAAAAAACCCCCTAACCTTTAGTTGTTTCACCTTCCACAAGGGCAAAAGCTACAGGAAAAATATTGTTGTTGCCATCTTGTGCTACTTCCATAAGCAGTGTACCGTTGTACTTACCGTATAACCAGGTTCCATCAATTTGAAGTATAGGTTTGCAATAGGCAAAACCTCTGATGCATGGTTGGAATGCCTAGAATAGTCGGTGGAAGATGTGTTTCCCTTCAGCAAGTGTTCCGTCAGCTGTATATATGGGTAGTGTTTTTATTTCCAGCACAGTGCTCGGAATAAATTTTTTAAGTGCTAACAGAAAATGTGGAAGTTCATTGTATGAGTTCTCCCAGTTACCGTACACCTGTTCAATTGCCTTATTTCTTGCAATCCATGCCTTTCTGTAAGACGGAGTAAAATTGTATTCAGAAACAATTTTACTTATGCAAACACTAAGCTTAATAGAAGGATCCTTGTCTACAAATGGCATTAATTTCTGAGACATTAACTGTGAGGTTAGTTTTTGATGATCCTGGTTAAACATAGTTGTTGAACAACTATGGGGTGGGTTCATAATGCCTATCTCTCACTTCTTTTTCGGTAGGACGCCAATAGACGAAACTTGCAGGAATCATTCTTGCAACAAGTTATATATCTCTTCTTGTCGGAATCTGTCACTTTATAATCCACTCAGTGTTTCATGTGATATTGCTTAATGGCAGCCACACAGTCAGCTTTATTTTTAAATTGGTTACCGACTTCAATGTCACCCTCCATTGGAATATGAGGATTATGTGGCCATTCAAATTATGTTCCTTCTACATTTAGCGGTAGGGTTGTCATATGCACCAGTGGGATGAATACATTCTCAACTGGAATGTATTGTTCATCTCTGTTGACTTTGTTGACACTGTTTCCTTCCTCAAACAAAGTAGTATATAAATCATCAACCTGTGCCTCGTTTTCTTCTTCGTTGTCTTCTTCTTCAACATCTTCAAGTGGAATTATGGTTGGCGTTGCCTCTTTGGATGGATTAATGACCTGAGAAATTTGAGTTTCTTGACATTCTACAAATGTTATATATAATTCAATGTGCTGAAACCTAAAACTTTCATGATTCGATAACATCATTTCAACATCCTCGTCGTCACGAACCTTTAATAGAACAAATTTAAAGCGATGATCCCCGAAATGGAAAGCATTTTTGTACGTAATCTGTGTAACTGATCCTGCTTGCACCTTCATCTGTACTCTATCTTTAAAATGTTGGAATGACAATCTTTTATTAACACTGAAACGAGTTACATCAATGTTTTCAAAGATCAAACCCACTTCATCTGATACAGCAACACTCCCATTGTAATGAGCATTAATAATATATTGTTGACTATTAGACATATGTAAGATGATTTTAATGAAATAGTTTGAAGAAATAAATGTTTGAATATAGAAGATGAGTAGTAGAAATAAAAGGTTTGAAGCAACTTATAGAAGAAAATATTTAGCAAAGATGTATGCAATAATACATGTTGGAACTGGTCAACAGAAGAATAAATGTGCCGCCCATTGAAAGGGCGGCTGTCAGACACAATTAAAGGGTGTCGCCCATTGCATTTACGGCAGTCAGAAAAGTAGTAAAGGTGTCGCCCATTGATGTTGTGGCTGTCAGACACATTAAGTGTGTTCCGACCAATGATGTTGCAGCAGTCGGACAAAAAGTAAATGTGTCGCCCATTGAAAGGGCAGCAGTCAGACGAAATAAAGTTGTTCTGCTCCCATGCATACAGACACGTAGAATTTAATTCTTACCAATCCATATCAATTTTTACCAACACTCAATGTAATTTTTACCCATCTTAATCTCCTATATAATTCTTACCATTATAATTCATCTCTATATAATTCTACTACCAACCTTAAAAAGTCTCTACTACCACTTTACTACCATCTCATCTCAAAGAATTTATGGTGCTTTGAACCTGACCAATGAGTCTCCCGAGGAACTCAAAATTTATAAAACTAGAATTTATATACTATTACTTTTTGCATGTTTTTTTATTTCCTGACACTAATGGTAATACTATCCATCTTCAATTTTTACCATTATTAGAAGATTTAAGTCAAGTAAGTATATATAGTTGGGGCGCTGCTACCTTAGCGCATCTATACAGAAATTTGTGTAGATGCGCAAGGAAAAATGTGTATAATTTTGCTGGTTATGGCGTTTTAATTCAAGCTTGGGGATGGTCCAGAATGCTCAGACTGGCGCCGGTCAACCCCAATCCATATCACTTTCCATATGCAACCAAGTAAGTATACAAAGTTTATGTATATATTCATTTCATCTATAATTTTTACTAACTATTTATTTCATAGGTGGGTATGGGATGAATTACGAAAAAACTCTGCATCATTGTGCTCCTGGGTATCGGACGTTCTTCGATCATTTTAAGGAAGATGATGTATTGCCTCTAACACATATACTACTATCACTTTCCATTTTTTTTACTCTAATCCATTTTTAACTATGTTATAGTTTCTATGGAGGCTCTATCTTGAACTTGAAGATGAGGATCCAACTGAAAGCGACATGTGGAGTTCTACAACATTCATATTTTGTTTCACTTATGTTGAAATGCATCATTCAGATAGGGTGAAACTCCATTTCGGAATTCAACAAGACATTCCTGGTCCACCTACATGCATGGAGAGGTACCACAATAGTACAACGAACGACCAATGAAAATTCGATAATTGGAGAGACCATAATAGACAAGAACGTCAGCACTGGATAAATCGTCGTCGAACTGTTCTACAAGGAAATGTCATGGATACCGAATGTAAACCCAATAGGGAATACATGAATTGGTATAGATCTGTGACCATTTTATATCTATCACAAAATAGATAATTATGGGACCCTCGTAACCAACCAACTTCTTCAAACTTCCAAAACATCCCCTTCATGACTTGTAACACCCAACCACAAACATTTAACACCCCTCAACAAATATTTAATACCCAACCACAAATATTTAACACCCAACAACAAACATTCAACACCCAACAACCTTTCAACCCAACACAACAATCTTATACCCCAAGCCAACACTACAATCAACCTTACATATCATTTAACCCAACCCCCTTCAACATCCAACAACAAAACCCAACCTCATCATACACCCAATATAACCAATACTCATTCTCTCAACCTACCCAACAAGAACACAACTACCAAACACCTCAACCACAAGTCCCTTTTTACCCCTCACAAACCTTCAACGTCACCTTCAAACCTACCAAGTTGGAGTAACGAGGGAACAAGATTAAGCTATGGAAGTGCGACGGCGATACCAATTGTGGACGATTTGAGTGATGATTTGGTCGCTGAATTCATGAACCCTAGCAATGATGCAGGACCTTCTACGCAGCTTCAAACGTTGATGTTGATCGTAGAAGGTCCACCAAAAATGTACACGCTCCTATATGTGGAACCCACCAACGCTTACGTCGACCGGGTCAAAATTAATAAAAGGTGAATAGGAATTTTAATGTACTTTTTTAATTTCAAGAATAAATAAATATTTATTTTAGTTCATTTATTGTATTTTATTTTATAATTATTATTATATATTTCAATGTACTATTTTATTTTAATTAATACTATTTTAAAATAATTATTTTTATTTTATTTTATTTTATTGTACTATTTTATTTTATTTATTTAATAATAATTATTTATAATTTAATTATTATTATTTATAATTTAATAATAATTATTATTTTTTATAATTAATTAAATATAATAAATAGATAAAAATAATTAAAACGTAAAAAAAAATTCAAACTTAAACACTACCGTCCATTCAAAGGGCGGCACTTAGAAAAATAGGATACTGTCGCCTATTAAAAGAACGGCACTCTTATACTAAAAAAATCAATTTTTTTTAAAACAGTGACATTTTAGTATATTAGTCGAAACATGTTCATCATGCCAACAATTTACTCTAACCAATGAACTTCGTCTCACCGATCCATCAATCTCATATTAATTTAAATGTCAAAATGCCAACATTTTATTTTCAAATATTCTTGTGTTCGTCTAAAAATCGTCTCAACCGCATCAGAAATACTTTTTATGAAGATAAGGACAATGATAGAAAGAAAGAGTACACATTTAGACAAAAATAAGTCGTGAAAACCACTCTCAATTAAGGTAATGAATACAATAATCAATAGTAATTAGTTTAACAATTGAAAAATCCTCTAGTAATAAAAAAAGAAAGAATTGAATAATAATAATACTACATAGAAAAAGAATAGGTTTTCTTTTGCTGCTGTTGGATGGATGGGTAAGTTGTCGGCAAGATGTACGAGGTTTAAGGTTAAGGAGACGTGGTTGCTTCTTCTCCATTCGTGGAAATCTCTTCTTTAATAATTTTTCTCGTCGGTTTGCCAAACTTTCTTCATTTGTATATTATTTTAATCCAAATCATTGCTATTATTTAATTCTCATTTATTTCCACTTTGAGACAGCATGTAGGGTTACAACCTTATTATTTTAACTTTCCATGATTCCAATTATTGTTTTGAGAATCATATTGTTTATGTGTTTGTCCTATCTTTTATATGATTATTTTAATATTAATTATAAATATACAAACAAAAACAATTATCAACAACTTTGTTGATTATGCTCACAGTCACAGAATATAATTAGTGTCACTAAATCAATATTATAATAACAGTATGTTGAGTAAGTGTGACATTTCGGAGAGATTAAGATGTCACGTTTATAATTAATATATAAAATATGATTATTCTCACTATTAGTATTCGGTCTGCTGAAACGATTAATCTAGTTTTGAGATCAATTTTAGTATCAAATAACTTTAGTAATATAATATTTGTATGTAAAAACAAGATTCAAAAGGAATATATTGAAAATAATCTTATTCCATGGTATTATTCATATCTGGTAGAAGCTATAGCTATAGGAACCAACAAACTAATAGAGGCCAATTTGTTTAACTAAAATCATGTGATATAAAAATAGATAATATTTTATTTTGATTAAGAAACCAAAGTTAGAAGGAAGATAAATTAATTTATGTTATTATTGTTAAAAATGATGAACCAAATTAGAGGCTTGAAAAATTGTCATCCACATGATGAATATGAAATTTTTCAGATATTATTTTAAGATATATGGTGGATATGGGACTTGGATTGATCTAATCGAGAAGCACATGCAGCATCTTTTAGTATAAAATTTTATAATAATGTCATGTCATTCTTTTCTAAGTTAGGTATTTGAAACTCATCTCTAACTACCTCAAATCAGATGGCATTTATTTATCTTCATAAATTATTCGCAACGTTGATACTAATAATCGACCAAATGGTCCTTTCATAAAATTTAAAAAATAATAATAATCGACCACAAAACTAAATAATATTTTTACATTAATTACATCATTTTTTGAAATTTCAATAAAACGATAAAATACGTTAATTTAATCATTGCTTTTTTTTAATCATTGATTTTTTTTTAATCATTGCATTAAAATGTATAAATCAAACTAATCCGTTTAGTGTATATCATTTTAATTTTAGAAAGATAATGTACAATATAAAACTTTAAAAAAATAATAATGTATTGCTATTAAACAGAGTCAACATATGCTGGGACCTCTAAGACTGGGTTTTATAGCATATTGAAGAAAATTCTAGCTACACCTCCCTTAACATTCTATATTTCTATTGGATGCACTTTTTTCATTTCATAGATAACCGTGCTTAGCTCCCACGATGTAACCTAATACCCCCGGAAATTTTATAATTTTTTATAATTTTTATTCGAAATTTTGAAATTTTCAATAAAAAAAATAAAATTCTATCACAAATTTCAAAATTTCGAGTATAATATTGAAAATATCAAAATTTTTGATAATATAATAATAAATTTAAAATTTTTTCACCATTGAAAATTTTAAAATTTTCAATATTCTTCATAATTTTTTTTGAAAATTTTTTATTTTTTACTGAAAATTTCAAAAAAAGTTATAATATAAAAAATTTTCACTTATTTCAAATATTTTCATAGACACTTTTAAAATCATGAAAATTTGGGAGATCTCAGATATAATTTAAGGGTGATAGATTAAATTTTCCGTAACTTTACTATACTTTCTTAGGGATATCAATAGGATTCTCTTTTCATTGTTTCAATCCATGACAGGTAGAGTTTTTTTTAGAATTTCTTACCCAATCCCTGGGGTTTCTTAAGCATCATGTGTGCTTTCAAAAATATCCCCCTGCTTCCGCAGATGTATCTTCGAACACACTTTTTTTTTTACTTAAACGTTGATTTGTTTCGGAGCTACATCTACGAAATGTTTCCGCTTATATACCTCCGGAACAAATCATAATACATTCGCGCCAGAGTCCCTTCTCCTCCCTCATTCTTCATTTTTCAACTTCTCACTCTCGAACTCTCCAAACTCTCTTAATCCTCAAAAAAAAATTTCCACCAAACTTAATTATTTTCAATCATGTTCGACAAGGAGCATTCATTTCAACGATCAAGACACTCCAACTCATTCAAAGTTCAATACGATCGGTAAGTTTTCGAGTTTCCGAGGTATTTTTTAGTATTTCCCGTAAACGAGTTAGAATATAGTTTTAGGGGTAGAAATTGTTAGATAGTTTTAAAACATAGTTTAGAGACAATGTATGTATTATTTGTTGGCTGAAACGGACGATCAGGGGTTGAAAAACCGATTTTCTTGTAGAGGGGACGTCGTTGACGTTGCTGTTGGAGTTGCAGAAAGTTCCAGAGCTACGTCTACAAAACAAATTAACGTTAGGGCAATTTCGTAGATGCAGCTCCGGAACAAATCAAACTTTCTGAATTCTGGCTTCTTCCATAGATACATATACGGAAGTTTTCCGTATGTTCACATCCGAAAGTAAAAAAAATATTAATTTTATTTTGCTTTTTTGTTTTTTAATTTATTTGTATCTATTTTTTTTATTGTTTATACATTACAGACATTATGGCAGACAGAGATAGATTGTGACTTGAATGGGTTTCACAGCATGCATCTGTGAGATGCGAGCAGAGGCAGGCCACCGTTATCAAGGCCGATACAGTTGAGACACATCTTTCTTCATCACATGCCCAAGACATTTCCTCGACCTCGTATCCCACCCCACCATCCACTTCTTCATCCCGGAGACGTCGGGATTCAGCTGAGGGTTCATCACAGGCTCAGTCCTCCCATAGGCCTCGTTGGGATACTCATGGTTTTCCTCCTGATGTTGATCCAGTGCCACCTCCAAAGGGTGATGATCCACCACCGGAGGATGCTGGTGACGACGACGATGATGAGCCTGAGGGTTTCCCAGGGGGTCCCTCAGATATGTCTCTACTGACAAGATACGCCTACCATACTGCCAGACATGTATGGGATGGAGAGGTAACATTACTCATATTGTTTCTTTTTTTCTTTGAAAATTTATAATTTGTACAATTGTTTCTTATTAACATTTTTTCTTATTTATGGAAATTTTCAAACTTGTCCTCCAGAGAAGTTCTATAACCACGAGCGGAAGATATTATCTTTGGAGCAGCCACATGAGGCTTTGGTTCCAGGATGTCCTTACCGCCTCTAGTTTGAAGGACCTTTGTGAGATCGGTTACAGCGTGATCCACAACGGGATACTAATGGGCTTTAC